TGATAGAATACACATTTTTGCATTGTACCCCAGGACAGTTGGACACATAGGTGGAAATGTTATGTTTGCATTATTTTTACAGTATTCAAAGGGAATAGACTTCCCATCCTTCTGGTTGATACATTGTATTATTATAAGATCAGAAAATAAAAATGAGAACTTAATGTTTTCTTGCCTTTTGCCACTGACCCTTTGCTAGAGAAAATAGGTAATTCATGGATTACGTGATGGATTTGTTGACATTTATTTTAGAGAGAAAATGTACTCAAAGTTGGTAACATTCTCTGTGATAAAGCAATTCCAATAAATACTAATCAACATGTGAAAGCTGTTGCCTCTTTCCAACTTAATTGTTCTTTGGTTTGTCAGCTTCTGTATCTGTATGCTAAAGTGTTCACGATGGTACATTACCTTTTTCACAAAAAGTTTTTCTGATTGTTTGCTTTTCTCTTGTTTCAGAACAGAGAGCTCCAGATTATGAGAAAGTTGGATCATTGTAACATTGTCCGATTGCGTTATTTCTTCTACTCTAGTGGAGAGAAGGTAAGAACGAAAAACAAAGGAATGTGTCCTGGTAACTCTCAGGGGTATAACTGGACTGTCTGAATGTCTGGAGACAGAAATGTGAAGATATTAGACTTAAAACACTGAGCAAATGCTATAATGGTGCCCAGCAGGCCATACTAGAACAGATGTTTTTCAGTTCAGAAGTGTGTGGTCCTTGAGGAGTGGTGTTACACTAAAAATAGAAGACTGCAGTAGATTTGCATATCCACTGCTTCTTTCTTAATTTAATGAAATCACAGCTGGGCTTTAAGTGTTCTAGCACTACCTTTCTATATGTGCAGATATATGTTTTCTATGATTCAGTGTTAAGCATGTTAGATTTAAAGCATATATGTGACTTTTCCCTCAATTAGTCTTTGTATGCTTCTGTCCCCCTTCCTTTTGCATATGTTCCAGGTTGAGTTTCAGAGGCCAGAGGAAAAAATAATATATAATCATATGATTGTAGAATTTGTCTAAATTTTTGTGCTCCAGAAGAAAGAACAGATAGCTGGATTTAATGACTCTCAAGAAGAGATACTGACATTTGTTTTTGTTCAGTCCAGATTTAAAAATTCCGTGATTTTTTTCAATAGGAGGTTACAAGGTTTAGTTTTAATGTGAAATTACAATGTATTCCTTCTCTAAGTATCTATCATCATTTTACAAATCATAGGAGAATTCAGGATGAAATGGACTTCAAGATGGCATCTTGCTCCAGCCTTATCCTTAAAGCAGGATCAACCATGGAGTAAAAACAAAGTCATTGTGGTCTGTGTGGGAGTTAATGTAAATTGTGAGGTCGTGAAATGAGCTAGATGACCTTCTGAATTTTCTCTGATCTTTCTATATATTGCTACAAATATTTATATAATTTCTAGATAATTTATGCAAATACTGCCGTTTTTTCCCATTTTTTAAGGATTGCATCCTTAGTTGTCTTCAGATGCTGATACACTTGTCCACAGTGCTCTAAAGGACTGTATATGAGAGCTAATAGCTACTGATGGGCTGCTAACTGCAGGTTCATTAAGTGGGTCAGCCGACTGGGAGAGGCAACCCACTGCTTTCATAGTCTTTGGAGCCAGAAAAGGAGCTAACATCTCCAGGATAAATTGCTTTTGTCTTGCGCAGTGCACAGGGGGATAATTGGAGGAGATCTGCTGTTACCTGATAGGTGTTTTGCAGGGGACCTGGCTCTGTACCTTGCCTGTGCCTATAGAAAGCTTGCAAAACTACAGCATTCAAGGAGAAATATAATTTAGGTTTTTCTAATTATTTTTTCATCAACCTCCTCTTTCCTTCCTTGCCCTTGGCTGGTGCTAACAAGTGTTTTCAGCTGTGTATGTTTTGCTGGTAGTGCAGTGTCTTTTTTAAGCTTTAAGTATTTTGTTCATAAACAGAAATTCCTCAAGCAGCATGAGTACAAAAAGGAAGATACTGTGAATGAGGCTTGGGTTTGGGATTTTTGGTGGCTGATTGGCTGGCTTTTTTAAAACAGCTTGTAACTTAACTGAAGTAGAATTTCGTGGACAAACAGAAGACAACTGACTTATCTAATGGCTTTCAAAAACCTCCTGCAAATAGTGGAGTGTTAAAACCGTTTATAATACTTGTCCCAGGAGCTTTTGTGTAACAGTAACTTGAGAAAAACGCTTTTGTAAATCTTTAAATTAAATTATGTTGAGCTTGATTTTCCAGTCTGCTGTTTCAACTCCTCATGGCTTATTTTTAACACTAATTTTGCTTTTAAAAATGTCTCTATCCATGACCGATGAATCTTTATGCTTCAGTGAGAAGTTTTCTTTCAAGTTGCTTTCTGCTCCTTGGTCTTCAAGCCTCTGCTCTGTGCCTTTGAAATTTCCACTGCTAAGCTGTTGCAAAATAAGACAAATGAGAAGCAGTCCCTGGGGCCAGCACACGCCCAGCAGAACATCAGCAGTGTAATGCTGCAGTTCAGGTTGCAAGGTCTCTTGAAGTTCAATACAAAATGACACTTAATTGGCTTGCAAGTATTTCCATGTAGGTGGCAGCATGTGAAGATAACTGTATGATGGCATGCATGACTCATGCCCATTCTTGCAGCTCTCAGCAAACACCTGCAGAAGAAGCTGTAGCAAATACATGCTGAGTATTAGCACAGCAGCTTGTCATAGGTTTTCTTCCACAGACTATGGGGTATAGCAGGTTGCTGTTCTTGCCTTGTAGGAGATTGGTACTCCAGTAGGAGAAAGGGGGCTGGAGTTTGTCTGCTGTTTGGGAAAAGCTCTGCATAGCAGCAAATTAGTGTTCTGAAGTTCATGTGGGAAGGAAGGAAGGAGAATGTTTCTTATCATTCTTTTGTCAGTTTTTGGAAGCAACAGCATCTTTTCCTTCATATTGCACTTATAATCAAGCTTTCTGGGGGTTGGAGAAGGGAGAAAAGCATAATTTCCCATCTGATAACCAGGAACGATGTTTAGGAAGCAGCTGCAGATATAGATGATACGTTTATGATGACAGGGCTATGTAAACTTATCATTGAAGCCAAGTCCAATGGGAAGAATAATATAAAAATCCAAGCATTGTATAGCAGGAAATGTGGTAGTGTAGTGATGAGTTGTGCTTGCAATTGTTGACTGTCTTTGTGAAGAACTTGATGATCCTCTGCCATTAATCTGTGGTTGTGATAATTAAGTCTAGCAGCAATGGGAAAATCTCAGATGTAACTCTTATACGGCTGATCTCTTTAATTAAATGTTGATACTTATATATCAGGCATTCTTTTGCATAAAGATTTTCTTGCCACTGTTTACTCCACCTGTTCCTGTTGCTTGAACTTCTTCCCTGGTGCTTGACACCAGCATGTCTAAGCCCAGAGACTTCTCTTTCTGGGTTGTTTTTGTTTGTTTTTTTGTTGTTGTTGTTGTTGTTGTTTTTTGGATGGCATTTGGGGTTTTTTGTAGTTTTTTTGTTTGTTTCGGTTTGTTTTTTGCACCAATGTCCAAGAAGCTTAAATCTGTCTTGATTTAGAGATACTTCAAAGGATTTCTCCATATCTAGTCAGACTGGCAATCTTTGAAAGCCATGTGCCTAACAGTCACTTTAATTAATTTCAATTGCTAGATATTTTTAGACACTGGAGAACCTTAAAACTGTCTTCATTTTAGCAAAAAGGGAGGTTTTGTTCTTGACTGGAGAACTGGAAAAGTATTAAAAAAAAAAAAGTAAAAAATTCTTGCTAGTTCCTTTAGCTGCATCCAAGTTGTATCACTAGTTTGTAGAGATTCGGAGCTTTCCATTAGCTGTTTCTGCTGGCTGTGTGGAACTGGTTGAAGGGCTCGAGCTCCCTATCTTTTCTTTTTCGTTGTGATGAACTCTACCTTTTATAAGTCTCCTATTTGCTTAAACTTCTTTCCTGCTTTTGACAAAAGCCATCAAGCCTTAGCAGCGTGAAAATTGTGTAACAAACATGGCATTCTCCTTTCTTTTCTGTGACTGGGTGACTCCCTGTTGTCTAAACATTTTTAAATTTATATTGCCTTTATACAGCAAAGTGCGTGTGTATATATATACACATGCACACATATTTACATCTTTATGTATATATATATAGATGTAAAAAGTTGTTCTGAGTACTAAGTATTAATCATGTTTGACTAATGATTTCTAGTCTAGAAGAGCTCAAAGAAGATGTGTAATTTATATTGAGATGACCATTGACAGGCTTGGCATTCAAGTTGCTTCTATAGACTATTTCCTCCTCAATTCATTCATTTTGAAACTTTACAGACATTTGTCAGACCTGTTGAATAACCCAGTTTTTTCAAAAGCCTCTTCCTTAATGAATTTGCCAGAGTAGATTCTGATTTTTTTCTTCTTTTGAGGCTGTACGAGATATCAGATAGCAGGGCACTGACTTTCATAGCTGTAATATGCTTTTCAGTAATCTAAAATGTGTAATTATATCTGGTGGAATGAGGCAGAGGGAAAGAAAAAACAACTAAATGATGGGTTGAATTGTGTACGAAAGTTTCTCCTGGTGAAAGTAGTCACAAGACTTTTCCATGCTGCATTTCTGTGATTTACGGTTTTCTAGGTAATTCTTGGAGAAAATGAACAGGATTTAGGACTAGCCAGGTCCACTGTTTGATAGCTTTGGTATTATGCTTTAGGATAAGATTTTGAGCAAGATGGCTGGTTTTCCTGTCAGCTTTCCACTGCAGATCGGACTGTATCAGGAAGGCATAGATTTCAAAGTTAATTTTTGCTACATTTCCTTAATTTCAGGAGCTGTTTTGCATTTAGCATGATATAAAAAATGTATGTCTTGATTTACTTCTGCAAGGGGAGATGATCTTGCCACCTGTCCTTTCTAGCCTAATTCTGCTGAGAACCTTTCAAGGCATGTTCCAAGGCAGGGCAAACATGAATATGGGAAATAATTCCCCTGACTCCTCTGCTAAGAGTATTCCTTAATGTTTTATAGAATGACCTAACTTCTTAAATCAGTGGCTGTCAAAAAAATTACTCAGCTGTGTAAAAATTGAAAGGAGTTCCTGATTCTGCCTTTTTTTATCCCTCTCTATTTCTGGTTAGATTTTTGTGGCATTTCATAGCATTCAGTTTTTCTTGTATGGCTACTTTAAAGTGTTGAATAGACTGATTGATCCATACCTGTGTCCAAAAGAAGATGAAAAGTTACTGGAGGGATTTGTTTCTGCATCAAATCAAATAAAAAATTAATAATTTTTGTTGAGTAATTCCACCTGTGGTTGTCCTTTAGTTTTTCTTACTTAAGGTGGCTTAGTATTCAGAGGAGTCAAAGCAAAAATGGAAGCAGAGCGAGATGGCAAATAGGCAACATGCTGACACTTTTTTGGAGGCTGAGCTGGCCCTTCTGCATGCTTTAATTGATGTCAGGTCTTATTTAGCCTTAGCTATAAGGGCATCTAGCCAAAAGTCCATGAAGACTCAGAATGGAAATTTACTCCCATAAACTTAGACTGAAGTTTAAA